TTTCGTGCAACTAGAATCTAAATATAACAAGTGATTTTAATGCACATACGTTTAAAGGGACTCCAATGTGGTCAAAAGGCCTAGAAACATAACATTTGAAATTCTGGCATAGATCAAGAGATGAATATTTAAAATGAAAAAAAAAATGAAAAAGATAAAGAAATATACTCAGATTTAAGTTAAAATCAATTTTTGCACGATATAAGCCTGGTTTGATTGAACAGTGCTTTCATCCTTTTCATTGTTTGGACATTTCGCACAATAAAATTATTATTATTATTATTATTATTATTATTATTTCTATTATTATTATTATTTTTATTATTATTATAAAATGGACTAAAGGTACGATCTGAAATTTTGCATACAATTTATCGATTCAGACATATATCTTATGGTAAACTAGACTCTGGAAAATATTTCCAGTCCCTCCATGTCAAAACAATCCTTCAGTTCAGCCCCTTTAAGTTTATTACCGGCCGCTTTTTGAGTGAGATGGACATTACGCGTGACTGTTCTGCTTGGAGTAAGGAACACTTGATTCTCTTTAATCTGATATTTATATTAAAATTATAGATTTCAACTGCCGATAGCATTGTGTCTGGTCAAAGAACCGTGGTACCTGGCTCATTACTGGTGACGGGAACAATCATTTCAACAGTTAGCGTTCGAAGAGTTTCAACGTATTTTATTTCAAATGCATTAACGAAACTTGTTTTTCCAGTTAAGACTAGAGGTATGCTCTTTGTGAACATGCCACTTCCCTGTTTTATTGCGCCGTAAAGGACATCAGCCGTCTATAAAACGGGGCCATGACCATGGCTTTCATTGTCTACTCTATCGGACGGTGTTAAAAACTACAGCCATATAAAACACTTAGAATATCTCAAAATTAAAACACCCAGGTTGAAAAGTAAGACACCTCTGCGAAACAAAATATTTATAGCATGTATATTTATCTCTCCCGAAATCACGTGGACGTTCAAGATGGAAACTGCTCAAATAAAAAATTCAAGACAAAAGGAGAGTGTTGATCTCAATAGACAAGGAGCTGATCTAAATCTGAAGGCCTCAGTACCATCGTCAACTATAGCAATGACTTACTTACGGCCTTTGTTGTTGTCTGAACGAAAAGGGTTGTTGCTTAAATATAGGGAAAAAAGGAAGTCATCTTTCATGGTCAAACATGTTACTAATTCACTTATTCTTGAAGAACTAGGAATGTAGGGTTTCAGATAGAGAACAACATGTGGAACGCTTAGTGTTCGAACTAACGACCGCAAAGTCCATAACCGTCATATCCCCATCGTTAGCTATCCGGGTGGGCCTTATTAATTAAATGTATGATTATTTTGTATAAAAATGACCTCATAAAGAACATCTAAATATCTGAATAAATATGGCAACATTTATGTACATTGTACTATATATACATAATACTTTGGCCTTTTTGTGTCATGGGCAATGATTCTGAATGAAGTTAAATTGATATATGTTATATTATTATTTCCTTTTTATACAAATAAACTATCTAACTTGAATAAATACCAGCTGTAAATGAATTCATGATGTTGATGTAAAATTGTGCACGCTTAGTTGGTTCACAATTACTTTAAGATCATGAATTCGGATAAGTGAAATCTGATTATCGGTTAAAGCGTAACCATAGATTTTTATTTTATTTTGCTATTGCTATGAAAAAAAATCTTTTGAAATCCGGGTTGAAAATAGACATATCCAACGAGATTTTATATAAATATATATTTCAATAATTTTTTGTTTGTCACTCTGCAATGTCTTACGTTTGTACGTCATAAAATTGCTGATAAAAAGTATGGTCTAAAATTATAGATGGAGAAGCGACTGGTTTTATATTTTGCTACAGGAAAAAATAGTTTGTCTTACTGAAGCTTAGTAGTGTTTAAAAATCATACATAAATACTCAGTGTGAAGTAAAATAATAATGATGACGACATGGTCTTCAGTATTACTTTTTACTTGTGTTTGTTAAGCTGTGCGTACACCACTTTAAGACATTGTGGTCATTTTACGGCGGTAAGTTCACCTACTTGGCCTTCTTGGAGTTTACGATTGCTCCGCAAATCTACTACTAGCCCCACATGAGCCACGTCACGACAAAACCAACATAATGGGTTTGCGACCAGCATGGATCCATGCTGTTGGTAAGCGAACAGCATGGATCCTGATCAGACTGCGCGGATGCGCAGGCTGGTCTGGATCCATGCTGGTCGCAAACCCATTATGTTGGTTTTGTCGTGACACGGCTCACATGATCTCTGAATTAACGATAAGAGGCAAATGACCATTGCAGTCAATGTCAGAAATCAATTGTCACTGTCAAATTTCATCCCGCCTGAAGATCGAACGTGCGACCTCTGGATTACAAACTAAGTGGTATCCCTATTGAGCAAGGCGATCAGACTTGTAAAACATAAATATTGATAAATTGATAAATGTATCCGGTCTCTTGCTTATCCTTTTTGCATATATATTCTGATATAAACATGTATACAAACGTTCCTCGTTAAAAGGGCTTTGCATTTCTTATTATCTATTTCATCATTTCTAGGTAAAATTTCAACAGACTTGAACATTACTTTACAAACGTCATTCAATAAAATTTATAGTTAAAAATACGATTGAAAACAAATATTAAGTTAAAACATTTTATATCTATTTTACAGATCATTAAAGGCGTAAACTGAAATAAACTGTAAATTAAAATTCTCAAAATGAATGCATGCATGAATGACTTATAAATATAAACTTTTATCTGAATGAATTATCATTTAAGGTTAAACTAATGTCTGGATCAGAGAACACAGGGCAACCTGGGTGAAAATTACTTCTTATTTATCAAAGTGTTACTTTCCAATTATAATAATTCATCGCAAAGGTCAAATACAGCAGTGTGGTGTTTATATGTAAGAAAATGACAAAATGGCCTTCCATAAACAGTACAATTAAAATCAGGGAAAAATAAACCGGCACGGCTTCAGGGCACTACATGCTCAAGGCATCAGGGCACTACACGGTCAAGGCTTCAGGGCACTGCATACTTAAGGCATCAGGGCACTAACCTCTCAAGGCATAAGGGCACTACACGCCCAAGGCATCAGCGCACTGCAAACGCAAGGCAGCGGGACACTTCACGTTCGGGGCATCGGGACACTACACGCTCGAGTCATCAGAACACTAGACGCTCAAAGCATCAGGGCACTACACTCAGGGCACTACACTTTCAAGACATCAGGGCACTACAAACTCAAGGCATCGGAGCACAACACGCTCAAGGCATCAGGGCACTAACTGCACAAGGCGTCAGAGCACTACACGCTCGAGTGTTCAGGGCACTACACTTTCAATGCATCAGAACACTACACCTGAGACTGATTGTGTGAGATTTTTTTAAATATACATTTCTAATCTTTTTCTTAAAATCAGATATCAGTTAATTTTCGCCGAAAACAAAATATATTAATCGAAATCGGTAAGTGTTTCTGTCTAATTGAATTTTGTTAATGCAAATGCATTAAGTATTTGAATATGATTTATAATTACAGATAAGATGGTAATTTTCTACTCGAATACTTCTTATACACTATGACGGCTCGCAACCGTGTTTGGGTAATTGAAAAAAAAAAGAAAACTTTAAAGTTACGACATATTTTGCGACATTTTTATATATGCATGTATTATTATGAATAATGCATATATATATATGTATATCTCAGTATAAGAGTACCTGTTTAATCAGACTTTTTGTCTGTTTAAATCATCAATTTTTATTTACAATACATGAGTTTAGAGATTTCGGTATAACACGGGTAAGTGCTTATGGTGACTATTGAGTTTTTCTGTGGTAGAAAGACCTCCGATGCCAGTACGTACATATGTTATATAAGATACGAGCAGACACCCGGGTAGAAACATATGTTTTGAAAACTTCAATATACAAAAAACATCCAACGAATCACGTGGTATGTAAATTCCAATCAGGGACTTGTATTAATTATAACTGACAGACTACCAAGTCGAATCTCAATTTTCTATTATCATTTTCATAAAATATATTGCCATATTAATCAAATCGACGTTAATCACAGATGAACTCCTCAGGCCACCATACTTTGATACGGTAATACCCATTACTGCATACCATACTTACAAACACTGTTATATACAAGAAAATGATTAAAATGCCACTTAAGGATAATAGTATATCGTTCAACTTCTTAATCTACGATTCAATTTATTTCATAATCTTAATTTCTGATAAAGATGAGACGGTTAAAAGATAGATATAAAACAAAATCAAATTTTATATCGGCTTAAGAGATAATTTCACGTGAATGAATTGTTGAAAATTGAAACGTACCATTAGTTTAACGCACCGGTAGGTATCAAAAACAATTTTTTGTCACGAATTGCTATTGTCATTTAGGAAGGTTAAAAAACGGATGTGTTACATTTTTAAATGTGATTAAACTGCATGTACATGTATGAAGGCCGAATTTGTGATTTCATAATTATAGACACCCCTAAATAATTTGTTTAAATTTGTATGTTTAAACGACCGTAAAGTATGTGAATTTAAAACTACAACTATCGCTTCATGCTTTTTTATTTAAATTTCTTTTTCCTTCCCCCTTTTTTCTTGGTGATGTACTGGTATAATTCTGAATGCTTATTAAAAGTTTTGGACCTCATTTTGACGGTAGAAAACAAATGCTTTACCAACTGATACACAACGCTTCGCAGACGACGCAGACGAACTTGCATTTGAAGCAGACGTACGAGTATTACGTCACAGATGTAAAATTTAGCTTTATGAAAAGTTATAAATGGAATACACGTAACAAATCATATAGAAATTAAGTTTATGGCTTTGAAAAATAATTGTACATGCGTTCTGCTGAGATGATGGGGAACATTAAAGAACCGGTGAGTCGTAAGAATAACGAGTAAATGTGTTTTACCTTTGTGAAAGTAGGAGACCCATATCTTTATCTCCGTAGTTGATCAGATGCATGATGTCCGGAACTAGCCCAGTAGTCCCGGGGCTCAGTCTCGGACTTGATGGCGGTGGTGGAATTGTTGGGCTTACTGGAGCCACACCTGGACTCAATGGATTCGTTACATTTTGTCTTATTGACGGACTAACAGCCGTCAATGGAGGTATTCCATTAGTAAGCCCGTTTGTGAGTCCGTTTGTAAACCCATTAGTGAGCCCATTTGTCAGTCCATTTGTTAGGCCATTTGTGAGGCCATTTGTGAAGCCGTTTGTTAGGCCGTTAGGTCCTGGACTCACTGGTGGAGGCTGTGAAAGTGTGTAGTAAATCACAGTTTCAGCTCCAGACGACATCGACGGAAGTGATGAAATCGTCGGCAAAGGTGACAAGGTCAACGCCGTCGGCGTGGGTGTCAATCTCATAACTTCCAGTTTGAAGTCTGTCTAGCCACGAAAATTAAAAAGAAATACAACAACCACCTATCTTGTCTTTTTTTCTAAAAACAACACAGCCACTCTCTTAGTCCAACAAGTAAATTGCGTTTTGAATTGAACAAAGTCTCTGTAAATCTTAGGCACAGCTATAATGTTATTTTAATTAAAAAAATACTAAACACTCTGCGACAAAAACACGTCTGTATATGTGCACCTCGTGTGCCTTTTTCACCAAATATATGGCAAATTAACGAGTTTTTAAAGAGTCCAAATATTAATTTTCGTAGATTTGAAAATATGTTTAGGTCCTACTCGAATTAAGTCAATTAAGGTTAAGTCCCGTAGTTTGTTTACTCGACACTGATAAAGATACTGTAAATGTGTGAGTCGCCGTGCATCAAGTAAATCTGGGCTTGTATGAAGCCCCGAACCTCTGTTGTTTAGTTCCCTCAGAATTTTATATGTTCATCAAGTAAATAACCCATAAACATGTTTGCACCATGGTAGATAAAAGGATGATACTTTATAATGTATATTGCGGCGTACCCGCGGTCCTTAAGACGGGCTTTATCAGCACTGTGTCATATTTTATCTAGATAACGGATCCTTTTTTTCCAGCGAGTTTAAAGCCCTGCGATATCAAACTGTCAATATTTCAAACTTTAAATCTTAGATTTATCCGCACAACATGCAATTTCACCCGTTTTATTATGTACATAAACTGGTTAATCACAATATAAGAGTAGTCTCTAGCTTCCTAGTTGAAAACGACGTTATTCCCATGACATGTATGTGTCTTTTACCGTTGCGCGGTTATTTGTCGTATATTTCGCTTCAACTCATAAGAAATGACCTTGATAATTTACAGAAATAATCTAAAATGTTCTTTCTATATCACAGACGAAAATGGAATCGCATTAAAATATACCCGTCCGACGCAAGTCCAAATGTAAAATGTCCTAAATTTTGTCACAAGACCGTAGATCATTAAAGAATTATGACGTCACATACGTGACAATACAATTATTACAATTATATATTCCTATACACAATCACACGTTCACTAAACATGTTTGTTCGTCGTATATATTCATGAGAAAGAAATTTGCATTATCTTTAGTGCCCCGCATAAACAAACAGATCTCTAATAAACATCTCATTTTTAGTGCGCCGACCAGTAGATCCAGTTTTTGTGAACCACTTCTTTCCCGGTTTTGAGATTTTATACAAAATTACATTCAAGATCCTGGTGTACCATATATTTAAGTAAATAAATCTAGAGTCATTTGCCTTTATTCAACCATAGTTGTTTAAACGGTTGCAGAGTGGTAAACAGTCATGCCTGGCCGATTCTTTTTTTTATGAACACGTCGAATAATTTTCCCAGATTTTTCGGACAGATATAATAAAACTTCAAATATGCCTTTTCTTAACAAAATGAAATGAGTAAATAAAAACGATTTCTTCTTGATATCTTATTTCAAATAACCCGATCTAGGTTTATGAATAAAAACTGTTAACATTCGGTGTGCAACTGGACCGCGGAATTGGGGTTTTTAACTTTTTTTATTGTCATGAAGAATAATGCGATCGAGTGACTATAGTCTCTTTAATTTTAATATCTTAAAAGGCGATTCATTGAATGGCGACATGTTAACCAAGTGGTACAGCTTCTACTTAATATACCTTTAATAGATTATGTATAAAATATATTTATAAGATATGCAATGGGTTATATTTCTAAGTTGTATTAAAGCAAATGCGTAGTAATATCAGGTATGATAAACTTAAGGTTATTAAGTGCGCATATTTAAAGACTTTGATAAAAAAAGAAAATATTAATAATTATGCCTCAGTGTAATTAAGAATTCTTGTATTTATAAGATTGAAAAAAATAATATACATGTATATATGAAATATGCATGTAGATTTTTTTAGAATTTTTCAATTTTCTGTTAACCCCATGATGTAAAATATGAAACAATGTATATTCATGGCCATGGGTGAGGGAAAATGTACTGTTCTGTTCTGTTCTGTTATGTACTGCTCTATGTAAAACCCCATTCGGTGTGACCCCATGATTCCTGGGTATAGAGGCACTATGCTCATCTGTCGCGAACCGGAAATGGTGTCTGCTACCAGATCATACAACAAACAAAGTTAAAATGGGACAAATCAAATCAAGTTGATGTCAAGGTCAAAAAGATTTTTTGTCTTTCACTTTTAAATATGTTTTTAAGTAAAGCTATACCCAGATCCTACACATTCGTCCAGTGCAGACAGAGATCCGCCGGTACGTCCATGTCGTCCGATTACGGTCTGCACTGTTCGCTATGAGTCAATAAATATGTTTGAGTTTCCCCCTAAAAATAATAAATGGTTTTGTTCAGATTGAAAGATGGACAAGTCCATTTTAATCATTTGGTATGGTAAGAGTTAATTAAAACGTAATATCATTCGATACCATTAATCTGAGATAAAAGAAACGCCGCGATGATTATGAGAAGAAAAAAACAACAACATTGAAATATTATTATCAAAAATGTATACAAAATGGATAAAATAACCGTCCGTAAATTACAAAGAAAGTAGATAGCCTTTCATAGACACCTTGTTCGTGTAGAGCACTAGTTTCGCGATCTCATGCTAAAATGACAAATTTGTGTGAAATTTGATAGAGATGATAATGTCACATAAAAATCTCGCTTTAATACTTTCTTAAGATTTCAAAATATTAAAATACGCTTAAGTCAATATCGTGTATGTACATATTAACGGGTAGGACGTACTTTGAATATACAGTTATTTCAACGTCTTTAGGGGCGGGGATTTGTTTTAAAAAGATCACGGGGATTTCTCACGGGTTGTTTACACCATTCAAAATAATATTTTTCGTAATATTTTATTAAGAATAGTGTCCTCGTTTTCATTATGAACTCCAGTCACTTTTATGTTATGTTTCATAGATTAAACTATGTATATAAACAAAATAAATTTTTAGTGTTGATGATATTAAAAATTGTAATGTTTAATCACAGATACCGCTTAACGCCATAGATTATTTCAAGGTAACACTTCATTTAACAAGTCAACATAGTGGTAAATCGTTTGACCATTTTTTATTACAGATAATTTAACAACGATTCCCTGTGGGTTATTGGAACAGCTAATTTTCGCCTTTCTTTTTAACACATACAATTTGCGGTGGTTGCGGTTAGATTAGCTTTCCATTGGAGTAAAATTTGTATCTGTTTTCCTTCAAACAATCAACGTACATCTTCGTGGTTTTACTTTATCCTTACAAAAATTGACCAAAATTCACACGGACTGAATATGTTTCCTTAAAACAACTAAGATACAGTAAAACTTGTATGGGCAGGCCGTCATTTTGCATTTACCGACCTCATATACAGTGCCCAAAATAAGGCACTATGCTTAAAGAAAAAACATGTTTCTTAAAAATTTTAAGAGGACATCTGAAACCCGAGCAAATTCATAAGAGTTCTCAAAACAACCCATTAATAATGATTTTAAGAAGACATCTGAAAACTGAACAGTGTTGTAAAATGTATCATCTGTTTACAGTATAGAGTGCATGGCATTCTCTTTTGAACGCATTCTAATAACAAGTTTCACCTTTTGAAACAATCAAGCTTCCCGATTCATGCTTACTTTCCTGAAAATTTTGAAAATGTATTCAAAAGTGAAATATTGAGTAGTGAGCAAAGACAGTAATTTACACATTGCAAACGGCACTTACAATCCACGTTAATAAACAAAATGTATGTCAAAATATGGGGAAAAAACCTTAACCGTGTTAGTCAAGCAATAGAAATTCGGGGATAAATACTGCAAAAGCAGTCACTAATCGCATATATCCAGTAAATCTTTTAATAAAAAAATTATTGAATCTTGTATCTTTTTACTTTTCTTAAAATCTGGAGGCATGCAGCTTTAACACTAGTTTGTTTCAATCTCACATCCACTGAAGAGCAACACAAATAGCTTGGTCGTTGCTGAGAGGCGCAGGCCTAGGAAAGTTAAGTATATTGTGAAATTATTATTAACGGTTGATCTGTAGAGGTTATATTTGTACAGGTGGTCATTCTGTACAGGTGGTCATTCTGCAAAGGTTTCACTATATATAGTTATTTATATCATGAAATGCTTAGTATCAATTATATCATAACATGATAGATGCGAATGATGTTGTGGGATTTTTAAAAAAAAACTATATCTAACCATGACTTAATAAGCTAGTACCATGTACTAGTATGTTTAAGACACACTCAATTAACCAAAACACATCATGTTAGAAATTCAGTACAAGTGGGTTAGTAGGATAAACTTTCACTATAAAGGTTTTAATAATTGCTTCAATGATGTTAAAAAGAACTAAACAGTACATTTAACATGAACAAAATCTGAGTGTTCGACATAAGTTCTGCATGTATATGTTAATATATTACTCAGATCACTTTTTTTTTTGGGGGGGGGGGTATTCACAAGTATTGTAAAGTTATGATTAACTAGGTTTGACTCAATTCAAATCAAAAGTGTAATGATGTACTTATACTCAAGTTTGACTGTAAACTTAACTTATCTGTGTAGAATGTACAAAACGTTGAGGTGTACTAAAGTTTAATCATTAATTTTGTGGTGAACTCTTTGTCATGTTTCTCAACTCTTATTTTAAACGTTTTAAAACCGACGATTGCCCTTTCTAAAAAAAAAGAAAAATAAGGCATATTGGGCCTTTAAATACATGTAGGTTCACTGTAGTCATATAAATATTCTGTATTGAAAACGTATCATTATTTAAATTACTTGTGACAGCTCGTTCCTATTCACAACTTAATTGAAAGCACATAGAATAATCAAAATAGTATCTTTCCTTTACAAAATTAAACTTTTTGAAATTTCTCGTTTGAGAGCGTTTTCCAAATATACCCACTCTGTTCATGATTTTGATCAAACTTCATTAAACTTGTATAAAAAGAGAAAATGTTTGTATTTCTGTAATCACATCATTACAGGATTTTTACACTCGTCAAAAACAATCTTGATCTATACAATATATTTTCACTTATTTGTTTTAGCTTAGCCCCACGCGGAGTAATTTGAAGAGATACAATTTATCAAATGCTTTATGTTCGAAAACCCAAGTTGGGAACTTCTTATTGCGGTATCCCGGTATATTTCTAGGACTGGTGTCACTCGATCAAGATTTACCAGTCTTTAGAAGAGCTACTTAGACTAACAAATATTGACAGGCAATCAAAATATTCTTGTTTATATTGTTAAATCGATCAAAAGAGGCAATAAACGACCTTTTTGACCGGATTTATTCCTAATCTATTTTAAACATCGCGCTCTTGCACCGCGCAACACCAAAGTAGAGCCCCTTTAAGTAACAAAAGCCCGCACTATTTACCTATTGGTAAATCGTTCTTATTTTAATTGGTTGAAATATTATTATGTATAAAGGGAAATAGCTATACTAGTCAAGAAAGAATTTAAAGTGTCACGGGTGTGTATGGAAGACATGATAGATATTCAGATTTTGTTTTATAAATGCAAATTTTAATTAAATCATAATTTATGTGATCAGATTAAAACAAGACATGTTTTTTTGATTGGTAGACTGATGTCGTACACAGAATATAAAAAAATATCAAGATTTAACATCACGGGTATGTTTTACTATGGGTGGAAAAATAACATTAAATAAACATATATTAAATATGACCTTTAGCCTACTGAACAAACCAATGGGCCGTGAGCAAAATGCAGACCAAGGTCATGGTCTCCACTGTTCGTTATCAGTCAGTATGTTGTTGTTGTTGTTGTTGTTGTTGTTTCTCCCCTAAAATGGTGAATGGCTTATAAGGCATTATATGATGGACAAGCCTATTCAAGAGATATTTAGCGTGGTAAATGTTATTAAAGCGGTCACAAATAGCATCATGGTGTTACAGACGCTTTTTAAGCTATAAATTTCTGAAAAGTACCGAGACTGGTCAAATGACATCGAGCTTTTGGTGACTTTGAAATATTTTAGAATAAACTGAAATATTTTTATAATGATATAAAGAAAAATAAACTTAAGTAGTCTTACAATGATGTAAAAAAAGGTTTTTTCTATTAAAGCAAAAGGAAATGATAAACATGAAAGATATATGTACAAGTTACGGGAAGATTTAAGAAGATGCAAAGGTAAACTTGATTTTGACCATTTTACTACGTTGACATAGGGCGATCACTAGTTGTTTCATATCTTTACATCACGCCATGCTG